TCGAGCGAAGAAGGTGACATAGAGACCTTCTGCCCATCTGACCCGCGAGCGGCCTCTGGTTTTTGAAAATAATCACATTTTCTTGTGCAGTCAACAGCTTTACTCGAGCGTGCAATTCAAAGCATTCATTAACCAGATTTACTCGAGCATTTTTTGGTACGCAATAGCTCTAGCTCTACTTGAGCATTCCATTCTACAGCCTTACCTTCATTTTAGACACCCTTACCTGTGCATTCATTTTAGACAGCCTTACCTGGGCATTCATTCTATACAGCCTTCCCTGGGCATTCATTCCCTACAGCCTTGCTTGAGCATTTATTCTATACAGCTTCAACCTTTATTTGAGCATTCCCTCTACCGCACCGCCGGGCATTCTGCAATTTTACTCTAAAAGTTCCGCACCAGTGCCAACAAAGTCAAAGCACAACATTGTACTAGGAATGCTGCGCTGCACAGTTTTTCCAAAGCGGTGAGAGGGCAAACAAGAGATGTTGCAATCTATTTTTCCATGTGTCAAAACCTCAGGGTTCGCAAGTGCATAACACTGAGTTCACTATGGATTCTCCGCCAATGAAGCGCGGTGTCAAACGAAGACGAAGAGGCCAGCAGCAGCGGATAGCCAATCAACGAGAGGCTATGGTGAAGGAATCTGCTGCGCATGCACTCTTGATGGCATTGATTGCCCAGGGAATCATGAGTGGCGTATTGGCGCATAAAATAGCGGTTGCTTGCAAGACAGATCTGGAGGCATGCAAAGAAGGGTTTACTTTTCCAGAATTGTACAAGTTGGCAAATCTTCAACAAGGCCGCAATCTCATTAGAAGTGTGCATACAGCATTGGCAAAAAGCACAATGGTCCCTGAGCCAATGAAAGTGCCAATGCCATATACAACTGGCATTGGCGAAGCTCATTTCTTACTTCCGCATGAATACTTCGCGTGTATGTATGAAGATTCTCAGCAATGGAAAAGCAAAATTCTTCCACAAGAGGAACAGTTAGAGGCTTTCTGGAATGCGTTTGAGCACCACCCCACTCTGACTGGGCATCCCATTAAGAAAAAACAGCATTGGAAGCGAACTGTGCTGCCTTTACTTTTGCACGGCGACGAAGTCTCCGTGACGGGAATTGGGAAGGTCTGGTCTCGATCAGCGTTGTCCTTTTCCTGGATGTCGATGCTGTGCAGCGCATTAGGCGGCAAAGGCAAAGACCTGACCTTTTACATCACTGGCGTGTTCGAGAAATTTGCGACACCGTCCACGGAGCATTGTCTGGGTACAATGGGCACGATGTGGTCCGTCATGTTGTGGACTTTTCAAGCACTCTGGGATGGCGTTTGGCCATCTACAGACTGGCGTGGCATTGCCTTTCCCGCGGACACTGTGCAAGGCCGACGAGCAGGGCAGCGTTTGGCAGGCAAGTACAGCGCGTGCCTGCTGCAGCTCTGCGGCGACCTGGATTACAACGCCAAGTGGCTGGGGACGCCGAATTGGTCGATACACAGTGGACCTTGCGTTCAGTGCCGGACAACGTTTGCAGGCATCAATAGCTGGCAAGACAACCGCCAAACCAGCGGCTGGCAGCGCACATTGCTCAGCGCTGCCTCTTGGAGGTCACAATGGACAACCAAGTGTCTACTGTTCGGCTTACCTGGAATGAATTGTTGGAGCATTGCATATGACCTTATGCACAATCTCTGTTTAGGCTGGCTTCAGCATTTTTTCGGTTCAGCGTGCTATCTCTTGACGCACGAGTGTTTACACGAGGAACCGTTGTCTAATTTGAAGGTTGTAGAGGAAACAATCAGAGCAATTCAAAGGAGAGATCCCACTCGGGCCAGATACCGTCAACGTCTTTCGAAGTTGTCCATGTTCATGAAAATCTCCGGATTTCCAAAGTTGAAAGGGCGTGCCGCAGACATCAGAGGCCTCGATTGGGCATTGTTAAATACCTGGCAGCAGTTCATGGACGTGGCTGTTGAACAGCATCTCTGGGTCGAAGCTTTCTTGAAGCTCACAGTGGAAATCAATGAACTCATGAACACTTTCTCGCCTCGGTCTGGATGCATGTCCATCCCAGAACCTCATTGTTCTGTATTGTTTCAGAAGGGATGCCAAATGGCACAAGTGCATGTCCTGTTGAGCGAGCACTATGATGCCACAGGTGTGCAGATCTTCAATTGCACCACCAAGATGCATTTTACATTGCACACGTTAGAATTGTCGAAACAATGCCATCCGTACTTGACCTGGTGTTTCAAAGGCGAGGCCAACATGAAGGCTGTACAGCAGCTCTGGAAATCGTGCGTGTCCGGCAACAAACATTTTGCAGTTGGTCGGGTCGCGGCCATTAAGCAAAGACATTTGGTTGCAATCAACACTGGCCTTTAGACCAGGTGGTCCAGCTGGAGCTCAATAATTTTGTGGTCGTGCGCAACAAGTTCACAGGGCTGAGCATTGCGATCCTCGGCCCTGACTTGATGGAGTAGACTCGGAGAGGAGGAGGAAACTTGCGTTTGCTTTGAGCCGTCGGCTCATGCGTTTTACTTGAGCATGTTCGTTACTTCAGCATTACTTGGAGTGGATATACTTCAGCATTGCTGGACATTGACTTGAGGATTTACTTGCGCAATTACTGGCACAGTTTTACGTGAGGATTTGATGGAGCAGTTTTACTTGAGCATTTACTTTACAAGATGTACACGATTCTACTTTACCAGATTTACAACATTCTTTCTAACCTTTCTAAGTGTTTAATGCTTGATTTGGTCAGCGTCAACAACATTTGATTTCATAACATTTTTTGCAGTTCATGTCAGAAAATATGTGCGAAATCACTTTTAGGACATTAGCTCACACGGAGGAATTCTACGGTATTTTCGAAAACGCATCAAAAGTGTATACGTTTTTGTTTTCAACCCTGTGTCCTTCAAATTAGGTTTTTCAATAAAAACACCAAAAAAATACGTAATTTCTTCGGTTTTAGTAATTTTACTAAATTAGTAATTTTACTAATCTTCGAGACTCAGGGCAACACCTCTTCCCGCAACACCCGGGACAACTCTCCATTCCACAACTCTGGCGCCGCTTCCACTCCTATCTTTCCCAAACCCCAGCAGACATCACCTTACATGCGACCAATGACGACCTGGTTGGCTTCTTCAACTCAGTTCCCCAACACAGATTGATCGATGCCGTCCACTCCATCGTCCAGGAATGGCAAACCAAGCAATCCACCCATACCCTCACCGTCGATACCAAAGCCACAGGCAATCCCTTTCACCACTCTCACATTGGCAGACACCATACACGCCATCCCACACAACGCACCATTCACACATCAGACATCACCACCATCGTGGCTTGTGCCCTCAACACCTGTATTTTCCGGGCTTGCAACTAACAAACAAATCCGAGGCGCCGGGATTGGATCCCAGCTGTCTCCAGCCCTTTGCAATGTGGTCATCACCAGAACACTGGCACCAGCTCCACAACAACCTCCTCCACCACTCCGACCTACACTTCACCTACTACCGCTATGTGGACAATCGCTTCATCGTCCACAACGAACATTTCCTCTCCCACCCAGCCATCCAAACGCTCATCCACCACAACTTTTTCGGCGATCCAGTCGAGCTTGAAACAGTGGATGACATGCACCTTTTGGGCTTCAACGTCGACCTTCTCCAACGCACAATCACCTACATTCAACCCACTCAACCCTGGAAGATCAGGGACTCCACCAGCGCAGGCAGCCAACGACTCATGGCGTCCCGACTCCACGCAATTTACACGTACACTTTCCGACCACAAGACGCAACTGCAGCGGCCGATGAGCTAGTGCGCCTCTACGCCCTCAAGGGCCACGCAGCAAGAGACTGCGAACGCTATTTGAAGAAACCACAGAAAACAGTGACCGCGTGCAACATGGGCGCCGGATTCGGTATAAGAGTTGCTTTCCCTTTTATTTTCTTGCATACGCAGGGGGCTCATGGGCCTGTTCCTGGCGTGAGCCAACGAAGCTCCAGGTTCAGACTAGGATATCGAAAGAGGACGTACCTGCAACCCGAACTTTTAACCACGCTGTCTAATTTGCTCTGTTTGATTCCATAGTTCTTCATGCTACCGCCCCCAAAACCTTGGTTTCTGCAGCTGCACCGCGCCGCTCGTTTCGTCGCCGCTGAGTTCTGCAGACACGAGAAACAACTTTTGTTCAAACACCTACAATTTCAATTTCTTGGACCTTTCGCCATGCGGTTCTCTCACCTTCCTTCCACCTGGGAATTGAGTCAACTGAAAACCAATGTCAGAGTGTGTGTGTGTGTAACCCTTGGAGTCACAAGGATCCTTTCGGATTGGTTTTCCTGTTTTCCACTTTATGCAGGGGGCTGCGGCTATCACGCAAACGCATGCCAGCGAAGCTATGCGTGATAGTGGAAGCCAGGTCTGATCAACCTGGTGTACCTGCCCTTGTGGAACTGTTGACAAGATTGTCACTCTCATCTTCCTTAAAGGGCTGGGGCATTGTGCAGACAAGAGCGGCCGCCGTCATTTCGCCCTGCCTTCGCTTCGTTTGTTCGGGACTTGGAGACCTTTGGAGGCCTTGAGATTTTGCACACTTTCTTGACTTGATAAAGCACCTCAACCCTTCGGCGTTCGCACCTAGGTGGGCGTGTGGCATGTGGCATTCAGATCAGTTTGCGTTTCCATAAGTGTGTGCGCGTGTGCGCAAAAGTGTCGTGAAAGTGTTTCAAGCAAGACTGTTTCACAAAAGTGCCCTATGTCGCGCAAGAGTCTCTCAGAAGAGTTTCGCTTAAGAGTGCATTTTTCGAGTTTCGTTACCCCCCAGTGTCAAGCGTAAGAGTGTGTTATGAGAGTGTCGGGGTCAGGCAGGAGTGTCTTGTGTGAGCATCACACAGTCTGAGATACTCAACAGGTTAAGCATTCAGGATCGTGGACTTCATTTTGCATTCAAGTTTTGCAGAGAACTTGGAGACGTGAAGGTTGCCATTCATGCACTTTGCCTTGCAGCTGCTGTTGTCCGTGTCGTCTACGTGGCTTCCGAGGCCGTGTTGGGAGGTGGTTCGGATACTTTTATGCTGCGTTCAACTTTTGAGCTGAGTCTTGCAAGTTGCTACAGCCAGCAAAGATTGCAAAACTCACTTGAGTTTGGCACCGAGGTCTGTAGTCGGTGTTGAGTGGTAGCGCTGCAGTTTGGTGTGGTTGGCAGTTTTGGGAATCAAATCAACAAAGGCGGTTGTGTACTTTGGTTGGAGTGAGTTGGGAGGGCTGCTCTTTGTTGGTTTTGTCCTTTGATTGGGGGGCGCTGCGCCCTCCCCCCCATACCCCCTCCAGCACCACGAAATCTGCACTCTTGCGCTGTGCTTGCCACGAAAACTAACTATGTAAAGGGTCGCCCATCGCGTTTGCAGATTGTCCTCCCTTTGCATTACGGGGGAGGCGCTGCGCCCTCCCCCGCTTCCTTAATAGTTTGCCACTACCTACCCCCGCCGTTACCAGTACCTCCAACACCAGTCTTACCACAGTTACCGCAACTACTATCTTCTTTGCGTTGACATTGACAGCGCCACAAAGTTTTAAAGATAGATGATAAGGTCTACCTTTGCTTAGCCGTGGCTGCGCCCTCCCCCGCACCCCCTCCCACATTTTAAATAGTCCCACTACCCACTACCCCTACTAATACCAGCGCCTCTATCACCCCGACGCCCCACTACGAGTCTTACCAGAGGTGCCACAACTACTATCTTCTTTGCGTTGACGCGTGGCTCAGTGTCCAAGACCATCCCTGTGATCCACAAGTGGAGGGACAGCGTCCTGAGGTGGTTTGGAATGAAGACGATCCAGCGATTCCAAATGAGGTCTGGGAAGTCAGTTGTGGCCAAGTCAGTTGCAGCTAAGTCAGCGACCCGCAAGGCCGTGCGCAAGACCCAAGGCTGGAACAGGGCGACCCAGACCGCTGCACCAGTGAAGGCTATGCCTCGGAAGCCGGAGAAGAAGTCCGAAGAGGTGAAGGCCGAGAAAGAATCGATCCGGAAGAAGCGCAAGAATACCAAGCCGAAGGCTCGCCCCGGTGGAAAGAGACGAAAGGTTTCAGCAGGCAGCGTTCCTCAGCAGTTCCAAGTCGAGAGGATAAAGCAGAGGAGAGCACTACGCCGAAGTCGGGAGCACCAGATCCCAGCAGAGTTGAGGGTAATGCAGATCCAAAGTCGATGCCGCCTCAACCCGCTCCAGGACCGAAGCCTGCAGCGAAATTGATGCCTTCAAAGCCAAAGGCAGCTGGTGGAAGTCGAATGGTTCAAGCCATGCCGGTGGGTGATAAGGCCCACCTTCGCTTAGCCGCGATAACGCCGCAACGGAGGATGATAAGGCCCACCTTCGCTCAGCTGCGCCAGCGCCGCAAGGTGAATGAAAGTGCAGGCTCAGCTCTGACAACCCCACCAAGTTGGATGATAAGACCTTCACCTTGAGCTGTGACGCCGAATTAAACCAATCAAGAAACGAAGCAGCCCAGCGCTGTCTATACTTGATTTGCGTTGCGCGCACCCCCTCCCGCTTTTTAATAGTTCCCACTGCCGTCGACTACCCCTACTATTACCAGTACCTCCATCACTCCGACCCCACCCCACACGAGTCTTACCACAGTTACCACAACTAGAATCTTCTTTGCGTTGAACCTGCCACAAAGGTGGATGATAAGGCCCACCTTCGCCTTCGCCTAGCGTGACGGCCAGAAACCTTCGATTTGTAGGAAGCGCCGCCACCGCCACCACGACGACGACGATGACTACTACTACTACTACTACTACTACTACTTCTGCGGCTACTACTTCTACTACCACTAATACTTCTACTACTTCTACTACTTCTACTACTACTACTACTTCTACTTCTACTTCTACTTCTACTCCTTCTACTGCCACTTCTACTACTTCTACTACTACAACAACAACTACTACTCCTCTCTACTAATACTACTACCACCACTACTACTACTACTCCTACTACTCACTACTACTACTACTCCTACTACTCACTACTACTACTCTCTACTACTACTCTCTACTACTACTCTCTACTACCACTCTCTACTACTACTCTCCACTACTACTCTCTACTACTACTCTCTACTACTACTCTCTACTACTACTCACTACTACTACTACTACTACTACTACTACTACTAGTACTACTACTAGTACTACTACTAGTACTACTACTAGTACTACTACTACTACTACTACGACGACTACTACTACTACTACACTACTACTACTACTACCACTACTGCTACTACTACTACTACTAAAACTACTACTACTACTACTACTACTTACTACTACTACTTACTACTACTACTACTACTACTACTACTACTACTACTACTACTACTACTACTACTACTACTACTACTACTTACTACTACTTTTTACTACTACTACTTATTACTACTACTTATTACTTCTACTTATTACTACTACTTACTACTACTACTACTTACTACTACTACTACTACTACTACTACTACTACTACTACTACTACTA